GGGGTTCACTGTAGCGTCGACGACCGGTGCCGTCATCAGCCGTGCCTCGCGTTCTCGTTCCTGGAATTCGGCACCGGCTTCGGTCGGCGATGATTGCCCCATCAGCCTGCATTTCGTATCGCGCGATGCAATCTTGCGGGTTGCACGGTGGCCGCGACGCTATTTCTCACACACAACACGTTGAAGCTACATTTTCCACCACGTGGTATGTTCAAAACACAATATGAAAAGGACAGGGAAGTGATAAATACGTGATAAAGACGTGTAAAACACATTTGACACCTGTGCAAGTGCTCACGTGGGCCCTAGAATCGCTGCATGGGATTGGCTATTGCCTGTATGGGAAATCGATTGCTCACACTTTTGTGGTCAACAGCGAGCGACATATGGCATTACACCGAGGCGTGAGAGGACTTCTGACCAACCGAGTTTAGGTGGGACCGGGTTCGACGTTCGTTGTACGAGCGGAACGAACGGCTTGTGAAAGGGTGCTTTGCACAATTGCCAAGTCCAGGGCATTTTGTGCGAGTTGGTTCGTGTGCCAAGAGCAAGACCACGGGAGCTCTCGTGGCGTGGGCAGCTGTAAACTTCAGGGAACCTTGCAATCACCAGCTCTACCATGTCGCGCATGTCCCAAATGCCAGTCAAGTGACACGCAAGACAGGCGCGGGCGCGAAAATTGCGGCGAGCGCGATGACTTGTGTTGTGCTTGGTTGCGTCCTCGAATGCGGCACTTGGTTCGTCCAGAAGTCACAATCTTCTCGGTGCTACAACCTCAAATTGCAGTTTGCAGTTTAAAACCAAACGGCAAAGTCGGGTTGAGACAGAGATGTGCCGCGATGCAGAGAAATCGATCGTACGAATGTCTTTTCCAGGATCGGCCAGAGGCGCCCACGAGTCAGCGAAGAGGTTGGCGTGCGAGGGCAGGCGAAGAATGCGGTCATGGCGCATTCCCTTTCTGGGGCGACGAAGGCCCATTGAACCGGATGCATCTTTGCTCACGACCGCAATGGTGGTGTGCGAGTGTGTGATTTTTACGCGTCACTGGACTGTCATTGTGGTGGGAAGTGGCGTGGCCAAGCCTTTGATTTGCACGAAAAGGGGTCGTGTCCGCGCCCACAACATACAAAGAGCAAGTACAACAAGGTGGGACAGCACCCCCTTTTCGTAACGACAACAAAAGCTGTTTTGAAATCGTGCTCAATTTACTCATCAGCCAAATCGTTGATGAATAGGCCGCTTTGCATCATCGCTCGCGTGCCTCAGGAGTGCAACTCATCTGCTTCAGGCGACGATGCTACTGCAGGTAGTATCTGTGGTGAGCAAGACTCATTATCGCTTTTGCTGGCTCGACCACCCATCCCGCCATGCCACCTGCGCCACAATCCGCCGATGCGTTCCTCCAGGACGGCTCGGACGCCTTCCATGCATCGCTCGCCGCGCAGCTTGAAGCGTCCATGGGCAAGGCCATGCCGCAGATGGAGATCCGCTTCCAGGATCTCGCCATCTCGGCCGACGTCGCGGTCGCTACCAAGGACGGCCACGAGCTCCCGACCTTGCTCAACCACGCCAAGAAGTCGGTCATGGGTCTCTTCAGCTCCAAGCGCACGATCCGCAAGGAGGTGCTGCACCCGATGTCGGGTGTCTTCAAGCCCAGCACGACGACGCTCCTTCTTGGCCAGCCCGGCTCGGGCAAGTCGTCGCTCATGAAGATCCTCTCGGGTCGCTTTCCCATGCACAAGAACATCACGGTGGGCGGCAACGTCACATACAACGGCGCAAAGTCCGACGACGTCAAGGCGCAGCTGCCGCAGTTTACGGCGTACATGAACCAGCGCGACTTTCACTACCCGACCTTGACCGTCAAGGAGACGCTCGAGTTTGCCCATGCGTGCAGCGGCGGTGCCGCCGTGCCCCAGCGCGTCCTCGACTCGCTTGAGAACGGCTCGCCCGAAGAGAACGCGCAGGCCAAGGCTGTCATCCAGTCGCTCTACAACGTCTACCCGGACATCATCACGCGCCAGATGGGCCTTGTCAACTGCAAGGACACGATCGTCGGCAACGCCATGCTCCGCGGTGTCTCGGGCGGCGAGCGCAAGCGCGTCACCGTCGGCGAGATGGAGTTTGGCATGAAGCAAGTGTCGCTCATGGACGAGATCAGTACGGGTCTCGACTCGGCGGCGACCTACGACATCGTCAAGTCGCAGAAGAGCATGGCCGAGTCGCTCAAGAAGACGATCGTGATTGCGCTGCTGCAGCCGTCGCCCGAAGTCTACAACCTCTTTGACGAAGTGCTTTTGCTCAACGAAGGTCACGTCATGTACCACGGTCCGCGGTCGCTGGCTCTCGAGTATTTCGAGTCGCTCGGCTTCAAGTGCCCGCCCAAGCGCGACGTGGCCGACTTTCTGCTCGACCTCGGCACCCCTGAGCAGGCGCAGTACGTCGTCGACGCTACGACGTCGGTGCCGCGTACGCCAAGCCAGTATGCGGACCTCTTCCGCATGTCGACCATCTACGCGACTATGATGAGCCACGTTGAGGGTCCGCACCACCCACTTCTCCTTGCGGACGCGTCCAAGCACTTGGCCGAGATGCCGGCGTACCAAGTGCCGTATGTGCAGAGCACCAAGATGCTCATCGCGCGCCAGCTCAAGGTGTTTTTGCGCAACACGGCGTTCGTCAAGAGCCGCTTCGTCATGGTGCTGCTCATGGGTCTTCTCTACTCGACGACGTTCTACCAAGTCAACCCCGAAATGCCGGTCGTCGTCCTCGGTGTTATCTTCACGGCCGTGCTCTTCCTCGCACTCGGCCAGGTACCGCTCATGCCGGCGGTCCTAGAAGCTCGCGAGATCTTCTACAAGCAGCGGTCGGCGCAGTTCTTCAAGACGTCGTCGTTCATTCTGGCGCAGTCGTTCACCCAAGTGCCGTTCGCCTTGGGCGAGACGCTGGTGTTTGGCTCGGTCATGTACTGGCTCTCGGGCTTCGTCGCCGAAGTCGGCGCCTTCCTAGTCTACCTCCTGCTGCTCTTTCTGACCAACTTGTCGTTTGCGTCGTGGTTCTTCTTCCTCGCGGTCGTCTCGCCCAACCTCCACGTCGCCAAGCCGCTCTCGATGATGTCGGTCTTGATCTATGTCATGTTTGCCGGCTTTGCGATCTTCAAGGACGACATCCCCGACTACTTTATCTGGCTCTACTGGCTCAACCCGCTCAGCTGGTGCATGCGCGCGCTCTCGATCAACCAGTACTCGGCAGGCGAGTTCCAAAAGTGCGTGATCAAGGAAGGCGGCATCAACTACTGCAAGCTCAAGGGCGACACGATGGGCAACGTCATGCTTGAGACGTTCGGCCTCGAGACCAAGAAGGTCTGGATCTGGTACGGCGCGCTCTTTCTCGCTGCATGCTACTTTGTGTTTCTCGGCATCTCGTACCTCGCGCTCGAGTACATTCGGTACGACACGGCGGCGCATGGAAGCGTGCACGTCGCTGACGACGACGAGAGCACCGAGCACAGCAAGGGCGCCGACATCTACGTTGAAGTGCCCAAGACGCCCGCTGACGCCCACGCGGTTCCCATCGGCAGCACCGCGTCGACGTCGATTCCCGTGACGCTCGCGTTTGAAGACCTCTGGTACTC